GAGACCTTGCTGGCATTTTTTATTGATTTGTGGGAATATTAAACACCCCATGATTTTAAATCAATTGCTACATGTCCTTGAAAAAATCTTTTGGCTTCTCTGGGCTGCAAGTATGGGTGATTCATGGTTTGGGAATTCCACAAGTGTGTCTAACTTGGCGTGGCCACTTTGCCCTGCCTACAGACTACTGGACAGTATCTGCAGAATCTGTGGGCTCTAGTCCTCATCTTGGAAAAAAGTAGAAGAAGCATGCTTCAGAGGCAATGTGATCAAGGTGATCGAGGATGGGAAGGTTCGTCCTTAGAGGGCCACTGTTTGCTGGCGATTAGTTTCTAGAACTTCCCTTCCAAGAAGAGGAGACTTATGACCTAGTAAAACCCTGTCACAGCTAACTTCACCAGCGGGCTTGATAGACACACTGTGGACTGGGTGGGCACAGCACCACAGAGGACCAGACGCTGTGTAGTTGGCTTTTTTTTACTCTTTATCCAGCTCCCTAATAAATACATAGAGACTTATTCTTACTTATAAATGCCTGGCTTTAGCTTGACTTCTCTAGCCAGCTTTTCTAACTTAAATTGTCCCATTTCTCTTTAACTACATTTTGCCTCTGGGCTTTTTATCTTTCTTTACTTCTTACTCCATGATTGGCTGTGTGGCTGTGTGGCTGTGTGGCTGGCTCCTGGTGTCCTCTTCCCCCTTCTCCCTCCTTCTTTCCCTAGATTTCTCCTCCTATTTATCCTCTTTGCCTGGCAGCCCCATTTATCCTTTCTCCACCTAGCTATTGGCCGTTCAGCTCTTTATTAGACCATCAAGTGTTTTAGGCAGGCACAGTAACACAGCTTCACAGAGTTAAACAAATGCAACATAAAAGAATGCAACACATCTTTGCATCATTAAGCAAATATTCTACATCATAAATGAATGTAACACATCTTAAAATTCCACAACAAAGCTCAGGACTGGGAGAGTATGGCCCATCTGAGAAAAGAGTTTCAAAACCTACCTGGCAGGCCAGGCTATGCCTGTGTTCCTTGTCTCCCTGATCAGCATGTCAACATCAACTCCTATAAAGCAAGGACCATCACTATGGTCTCTTGACAGATGAGGAAACTGAGGCAGGGAGCCCCTGCCTGGTGCCTGACACATCAGAAGCACTCAATAAGTATCTGTGGAATGTGAATTTTTATTTACGGTATGTGTACACGTGAGTGTGGGGTCAGACATCTGGTTTCTTCCTTAATCATTTTCCACATCAGTTTTTGACACAGGATCTGAACCTGGGGCCATGGAGTAGGCCAGCAAGTCCTAGGCATCCTCCTGTCCCTAGTGCTGGGATTATAGGTGTGCCACTACACCTGGCTTTTTATGTGGGTTCTGGGATTAGACTCAGGTCCTCATACTGAGGAAGTGAATACTTTGCTGCCTGAGTAATTTCCACAGCCCCAGAGTGTCAATTAGATGCATCAAAGAGAGACCAAGTCCTGTACCCAGCAAAGCTGAGACAGAAAGGTGGCACCCTGCATGGCCACTGTCCCCTGCCTTCTGTATACCTGCCAGCCCGCTCTGTTGCTTTCTACCCTTCCATGAAGCTTGCAAAGTTAGCACTGCTCACCCTGCTGGATGAGGCAACGGAACCTCGGACAAGCTTGCCTGTCTGGCTCTACCTCTTCCTCTCTGCCTCTATGCTCTCTGACTCTGGAGTTTGCAGCTGAGGGCATAGTTGGCCCTTGTCTTGGAGAAACTTGTGTTCATCTGTCAAAACTTCTCCCTCAGGGCTTGTCACATCTCTAGGTACAGGGAATTGTAGCCGTTCTCCCTAAGTCCATAGCTGTTTATCTCTGCCAGCCTCAGTTGGTCCATCTAACATGAGCATTTCCAGGTCTTGGGGATGAGTGTCACTCTGACCCACCGAGTCAGAAAGGGCTGAGCTTAGAGCACTCTCCTTGGACTGGGGATGATGACACCAATCCTAAACTTTTTCCTGAACAGTAGAGGTGTGGGAGACAAGCTTCGCCTCCCTCTTTTCACAGCTCCTAAACATACAACCCTGTGCCTGGGCCCGGGGACCTGTCCTCACGGGTGTTGCAGAAAGACCTCCTCATGGGTGCTTGGGAAGTGCCACTCTAGATGGTTTCAGAGATTTTAGCTCTCACTGCTTTTTTTTGTTTTGCTTTAACTGCAAAGAGACTACTCACACATGTTGTGACCTGCAGGACAAAGACCGTGTGTCTTGTGTTCACCCTCCTTCCTGTATCCCAATCTGGATGGCAACAGGAGATGCAGTGTGCATTCAGCCCAGCTTCCCTCTCTTCTCAGATGAGCATATTGGGCAGGGTTTGGCTTGCTTTCTTCTATTTTAATCCAGAACAATAGTTTCTCTTAAGCCATTCGTATTTCTGCATTCTTGTTCTGATATCCCAGCACAGATGTTTGTATTACTGTAGTGCAAGAAAAGGGCTTTAGCACCCTTTTGCAGACGGAGAAACTGAGGCCCTGGCTCACATTGAGTTCCTGCAGCAGGCTGTTGCTGGAAGGAACATCTTCTTTGCCTGGGTATGAAGCGATTTGCTGCTGGGGCTGTGGGTACTGTGTGGTGTTCCCTCAGCTCTGCGGCTGTCCTGGGTTTCCCCAGACTCTGCAGCCATCCTGGGGTGCAGAACACTGTACACTTGTGCAGAGGGCTGACTGGAAACTGCTGCTGGCCTCTTTCCCTTAGAGCAGCTAGCTGCAACAGCCAACCACAAAGCAGACACTGGGCGGGAGGGCGGGCAGGGAAAGTGCAAATGAACCCCAGCTGGCCACTGAGTTTCTCTTTCCTGTCAGAAGAGTGCCTTATGGGACCTGTGGGTGTGTGGGGCCGCAGAGCCTGGCTCGCTCGTCCTTGAGGAACACACAGGAACTACCTGCCAGCTTTCTGGCTATTTTATCACTCACATCAAGATCCAGGGCAGTGGGTTCCTTCATGGCCCCTTGACCCCTCTCTACCACATTGCTTAGCCAACTGCACCTGCTTCTTAAAATGTTAAGTTTTCCTGTCCTGAAGGTCCAAGTTCTGATCCTCATACTTGCAAAGCAAAAACTTTACCCACCGAGCCACCCCCGAGCCCCTGCTTTGATTGACAGGGGTCTCACTGTGTAGGCTAGGCTGCCCTTGAATTCATGGCAATCCTGCTGCCTCAGCCTTCAGTGTTGGCATTATAAGCACTAGCCACTATGCTTGGTTTGTTTTCTCTTTTCCTTTTTGAGACAGGGTCTATGTAGCCTGATTATGTAGCTCTGGCTGGCATGGAAGTCACAGAGATCTTCCTGTCTCTTGAGTGCTGGACTGAATGTGTGTGTCACCCACACTTCTGGTTGGTTCTTTCCTTATTCTTAAACTCCATGCCCTCAAACGCCCACAAGGAAGAAGAGCAAATGTTTCCACCATAAAGAAATGACAAGAGTTGGGGAGATGGCAAAAAAAAAAAAAAAAAAAAAAAAAAAAAAACCAAAAAAAAACAAAAAAAAAACCCCAAGGTAGATGGTTCCTAAGGAACAGTATTCAACGTTGACCTCTGGCTTTGCAGGTACACACACATGTACTCACACAAGTACATACACATGCTCTCACACACAGGAACCTGACCACATGCAAACATGGCACACATACACATACACAAAAAGATATGATGGGTGTTTGAGGGAAATGATAGCTTTACTGTGGTTTAAATGTTACAGTAAGCACACACGGGACCATTATATGGTTCCCTATTGATATGCACTGGCTTTATGTTTGTATCAGTTAAAAGGCAAATTTAAACATCTGTTGTGGTTGTACATGCCTGTAACCCCAGCACTGGGGAAGTGGAGTGTCTTAGAATTTTTATTGCTGTGAAGAGACACCATGACCATGGCAACTCTTATAAAGGACAACATTTAGTTGGGGTGGTTTACAGTTTCAGAGGTTCAGTCCATTACCATCATGGTGGGACATGGCAGCAGACATGGTGCTGGAGAAGCAGCTGAGAGTCCTACATCTTGCAGGCAACAAGAAGTGGTGTGTAACACTGGGCAGTATCTTGAGCATATATGAGACCTCAAAGCCAGCCTCCACAGTGACACATTTCCTCCAAGAAGACCACACCTAAATCCATAAGGCCACACCTCCTAATAGTGCCACTCCCTTTGGGATTACGGAGGCCATTTACATTCAAATCACCACATGGAGGGAGGAGGGCCAAGAGTTCAAGGGTTGGGAGGGTAGGTGCTGTGCACAGGTTGCAGGCCCCGGGAAGATGGCTCCTGACCTGGCCTCTGTAGTTACAATTATCCATGTAAGGAATGCACAGCAACCATGGAAGAAGCCCCAAGCACTGAGACTGCCATAGAGACTGTCATCTCCTCCTTCTCCTTCACATAGGTTCACATAAGTCACATTTTCTCTTCCCTCTCTCTCCTCTCCCCTGGCCCCTCCCAGTAAATACAGCTAGTGTGTGTGTGATACATAGGGCATAATGCCAGGCTTCAAACTCCAGCACCCCGCAACATTTCATCATTGGGGGTGCTAGTGCTGCTGAAGATACATATGTAACCACCGGGAGGTGAACTTGGAAACAGCAGGAATTAATATTCATGGTAAAAAGAGGAGGAAGGAAGGAATAAAGTAAAGGAGAAAAAAAGGCCGGCCTGTATCTCTGTGGCAGAGCCCTTTGCCAGCAGAGACCTGTGTTCTAGCCCCATGCTGAAGGAAAAGTCTTCCTGCAGTGTCTCAGCTCCAAGGAAAGAAACAGGGATGGTGCTCTCCTGCAAAAAAGCTTTATTTAAGTCACAATGGATGAGTGACTTGGTGGCCCACGCCTGTCACTTCAGCATTTGGGGGTCCACAGAGTCATTACTATAGTCACCAGTCTCATGGGCTTGGGCAGAACATCATGGTAGCAGAGTTATGTGAAATCCTATACAACATGTCCCCCCACCCCACCCCACCCCCCCGAAATAGGAAGCTGAGGGGTTGGGAATACAGGAAAGGGACCAGGGCAGCATGTAGTTGAAAGGACCCACCCCTGTGAACCACTTCCTCTAACCAAGCTCCATCTTCCACAGTCCCGATTTTGATGGGTTGATATTGACAGCTGAACTATTCATCATGTCGGGGGGGGGGGGCCCCCTCTGGTTCTAATCTGCTCTGAGAACTCCCTCATACACACATTTTTTGTATCTCAATGCAGTCAGGGTTCCAGTCACAATGAACCATCCAAGTTACATATGGAAATAATTACACACACTTTCATGTATCTAGAAAAATTTATAGCCATGGGGCACACACAGAGATTCACCGTTAAGAGGGTGTGTAAGCAGCAGCGGCCCACAGTTGAGCACCCTGTGCCCATGTCTTGGTTTCTAATGCCACCCTGAGGGAGCTGCTTGGAGATGTGGTGGTTCTTGGTCCAGACCAGGAAATACAAGATGAGTCTGGAAGAGCTAGGAGGGTCCAAAAGCAGGTTGTGATCGCTAAAATCTGAATATGAGGTGACAGAAGTTATGTGTGTGAGCAGTTGGTCCCCTGACTTGAGAGGTTATGGAACCTTTCGATACACACCCTAGCTGGTAGACACAGGACGACCTTTGGAGGTTAGCCCACCTCCAATTCTGGTCTAAAGGTCTCTGCTTCCCAATCCATGAGGAGATGAAAAAGCCACATGTTCAGTTGTCTATGTCAACACTGTGACAAAATTTCTCAAGGGAGAGGCTGTTTGGCTCCTAGTAAGGAGAGTGCAGTCCATCATGGTGGGCGAGGCGGCTGTTCACATGACAACTGCAGCCAGGAAGCAGAGAAAGATGACTGCTGGTGCTCAGCCCAGGACTCTAGTCCAAGGGACAGGGCTGCCCACATTCAGAATGGGTCTTCCTAGGTCAGTTAACTGAATCTAGGAATACCCACACAGAAAGGCTCAAAGATCTGTCTCCTAAGTGATTCTAGGTCCTGTCAAATTGACAGTACCAACCATCACACCACACTACGAGCACTCCTGCAGACAGAACCACCCCAGGTGCCAAGCCTCCCCTGCCGTCGTGGGTTGAAAACCCGGGGTTATGACATTAAGCACCCTTCATCCCTAGACTATGACAATAAGCACCCTTCATCCTTAGACTATGACAATAAGCACCTTTCGTCCCTGAAGTTGCTTCTGTTAGGCATGCTGATGCAGCAACAAGAAAAGCAGCAAAGTCTAAAGTACTCACGAATCCACTCTGACAAAAAATGAGTAAGTCGGGCTGGAGAGATGGCTCAGAGGTTAAGAGTACTGGCTGCTCGTCCACAAGTCCTGAGTTCAATTCCCAGCAACCACATGGTGGCTCACAACCATCTATAATTCGATCTGGTGCCTTCTTCTGGCATGTAGGCAGAACACTGTATACATAATAAATAAATCTTCAAAAAAAAATGAGTAGGTTGACGGCAAGGCCAGGGAGGGGGAGGGGGATCTCCAGTGTGGAGGGTTTCAACAGCTGGTGAAGGCATGATATCCTGAGGTAGGGAAACACAATGTCTACCCTCTAAGTATGGGCCCTGCATAGAAACCCAAGCTAATGGAGAAGGAATCAGTGAACACTGACCCTAGCCTACTCTATTCCACCCACTGCAGCCTTTAGTGACACCTGTGGGTTGGAGGTGGGGAACCCGAGCTCTCTCCTCTCTCTGGAGAGCACCTACCCCTTCCTTAGAGCCTCATTCTCTCTTAGGCTTGAGCTCTGAAGTCATGTGGGAAACCCTGTTCTTGGATGGTGAGGCAACTCTGAGAACAAAGAGAAGAACTTGATGACAGAGGAGGGTGGGGGTGGCTCTGAGGCTTTCCCCATATCGGGCTACTTGTTCACATCCTCATCCACCTGCTCACTGCTCCCTTTCAGGCTTCTCTGCATCTTTAGACAGAGACGCCTAGAAACAGCTGGCGAGAGCATGCCCATCACTCCTCTGCCCCCCCACCCCCCGCAGTGTGCCCCTAGAGCCAGGACACTGATGGCCTCCGGCTTCCTACAGAAAATACAACAGAGCCTCTCTCTCATTCCATGCCCCTTTTTCTGTGACCAGATGCCAAGCCTAAAGTTCACAGGGGCATGAAGCAGGTCACATTCCATCTCAGTCGATTCCACATTGCTGCCTCCCTCACCTACTGGGCCTCCCTCCCTCCGCTTCTTGTCCAACTGCCTTTCAGCTTCCCCCTTGGGCTGTGCAGCAACCAAGGTGCAATCAGAACAGGAAGTGACCTTTGGGAAGCAGGGTCCAGCAGCATCACCCACACTCATCTCCTGTCTAGTAATGTCCAAAAGCTGGCCTGCACCCACGTGCCTAGCTGATGCACCTGACAGCGCCCCAGTGTTCTCACTGGAGCTGATCCTCCTGCAGCTCTGAGACCCTCTGGATTCACTTGTCAGTGCCCCACTGGGTATTCCGCTAACTTTCACAAGGTCAAGTTCCCTCAGCAAATATCCTCTGGGCAGTCTGAAGATGTGTGTTTTCTGACAGTTTCAATTTTGCATGGCTGTTTCACCCACCTGCCTGGCCTCGGATTATCTCTCAGGGCCTAGCCCAGAAGCAGGCGTGTGTGGCAGGTGCTCACTGGCACCTAAGTTGAATGAATGACTGAACGCTCAAGAGGATGCCATCCTTCTTGACTATGACACAGGCAACTGCTGATGCCAAAATGCTGCCCACCCCTCTCATGCCCATATTTGGACATGGTACAGGTCCTCCCTGGTCATGGTCTGTGAGGTCCTGGCACTCTTTGACTTCATAATCCCCAGGGGCCCCTTGTGTCTATAAGAGGAAGAAGGTGCGGGCTCTCCATCCACAGCCCGCAAAATTCCACCTGCTCACAGGTTGGCTGGCTCGACCCAGGTGGTGCCCCCTGCTCTGAGCCAGCTCCCGGCCAAGCCAGCACCATGGCCAGATACCGATGCTGCCGCAGCAAAAGCAGGAGCAGATGCCGCCGCCGCAGGCGGAGATGTCGCAGACGGAGGAGGCGATGCTGCCGGCGGAGGAGGCAAAGTGAGCAGGGGGGCTGTGCTGGACTGGGTCGGGGGGGGGGTGTCCAGGGATTGGGCATAGCCTGATATATCCACCCCCTTCACCATCTTTCTTGCCTTCCTAGGGTGCTGCCGCCGCCGCAGATACACCCTGAGGTGTAAAAGATACTAGATGCACAAAATAGCAAGTCCATCAAAACTCCTGCCTGAAAAATTTACCAGACTTCAAGAGCCTCTCGCCACATCTTGAAAAATGCCACCGTCCAGTGAAAAACAGGAGCCTGCTAAGGAACAATGCCACCTGTCAATAAATGTTAAACTCATCCCACTCACGCCTCTAGATTCTTGGGTTCTGGGAAGGGTGGGTGAGTGTGGGTAAGGGGGATGTGAGTGACATGTGAGGGGCTCCAGACCTGTCAATAACAGATTCTCATCGAGATCCCTCCCCAGAAAGGCTTAGGGAAGACATGTGTCTGAGGGCCTCATCATGGGCCCCAGTCATACACAGACTGTCGGAAAGCCAGGCAGGAACTGGCTATAGCTGAACAAGAAAGTCCAGTGGATCTGTGTGAATGTCCCATCACCAATCCCTTCTCGGGTAAGCCCATGGGGTCAATTTAAGGTTGGCCCTCTGCTGACCCCATCCTCTGGGCCACCTTGTGTGAATGAAGAGGTCAGATAACCATTGGTGATTGCTGCAAAGCAGCGCAGATGCCAGTCTTCACCTTCCAGGGCCTCCACAGGCTCGGCCTTCTAGGCCAGCAGTGGACCCTGAGTGTTGTCATCACCCTTTGGTTTTTGTGGTAGGACCCCAAGACCTTGTGTATGCCAGGCACACAATACAACTCAGGACTTGATTCCCTGAGGGACTGCGTCAATATACTCCATGATGGGGACGCAGATCAAGGTACCATGTTGTAAAAAGCACAAGTTTTATTTTTTTCCTGTTGGGTTACAATGTTTCAAGTATGCCCTAGGAAAGAAAGGACTCCTTTAAGGCCAGCACATGGGGCAGAGGCAGGCAAGATCTGGCTAGCCTGCTCTATAGAGCAAGTCCCAGGACAGAGTTACACAGAAAACAAGCAAAAAACTCAAACCGGCTTTGGAGAGAAGCATGTCCTTGAGCAACCCAGACTCTATCCCCTACGGGAGAAGCCGTTTCAGTCACACTGTCCTTAGCTCACATGGAGGTGGGAAGCTTTTCCCACGGCTCGGCAGGATGAGGGCACGGACTGGGGCTGGGAGGGGATTCAGTGGCTTGCCTGGCACTGCTCTGCAACCGTGACACACACCATGCAGCAGGGCAAAGGGACCGGGAGCAAAGTTCAAGGTCACCCTGAGACCCTCTCATATTAATCTTCTTGTGACTGACTACGAGCCAGTGCTACAAACCCGGCCTGTGGTGCCCTCACAGAGGGGACTGGGCAGGGTGGGAACAATCAGGGGTGGGCCGCCAGGTCACAGTGGGGCTCCCCTTTATATATGAGCCCCAGAAAGCCCCTCACACCAGACCATCATCACCACCAAGAGCAGGTGGTGAGGCTTTCGTCCTCCTCCTCCCATCCAGGTCAGCTGCAGCCTCGGCTCAGAGACTCCTGATCTCCTAGCACTATGGTTCGCTACCGAATGAGGAGCCCCAGTGAGCGTCCACACCAGGGGCCTGGGCAAGAACATGGAGGAGAAGAGGAGCAGGGGCAAGAGCTAAGCCCCGAGCGCGTGGACGACTATGGGAGGACACACAGGGGTCACCACCACCACAGACACCGGCGCTGCTCGCGTAGGAGGCTATACCGGATCCACAGGAGGCGCCGGTCATGCAGGAGGCGAAGGAGACGCTCCTGCCGCCACAGAAGGCGGCATCGCAGAGGTAAGCACCACAGAACCCCAGAACCTTGGCCACCTGTGCAGCTGCCCAACAAGGTAGGAGTGCCCCCATTCAAACCCTGCTGCCTCCCAGGTAGCCCAGCAAACCAGAACTTTCTTTCCCAAAGGCTGCAGAAGATCCCGAAGGAGGAGGAGATGCAGGTGCAGGAGGTGTAGGAGGCGCCATTAAGCCTCCCCAGGCCCATCCATCCTGCCTGGAGCCAAGGAAGTCACCTGCCCAACGAATAGTCACCTGCCCAAACAACGTCACGCGAGGCCACGCCACCATTCCACGTTGATGTCTGAGCCCTGAGCTGCCAAGGAGCCATGAGATCTGAGTAATGAGCAAAGCCACCTGCCAAATAAAGCTTGACACGAGACTCATTGGCTGCTGTCTGCTTTTCGTGAATGCCACATAGGGACCATTCCTAGTCCTTTCATGGTTCAGGTTACACCAACAGAACAGCACTCTGAACAGGGAGAGAAGTTTAGTCATGGGGGAAGGGATAACCATCAGCTCCCATCCCTGCCCTCTCCAGAGAGCCATCTGAGCCAATGCATTGTTCCTGGAAAATGTCAGCTAAGCTCCAGATTCCAGGGTGGGGGAGGGCGGTACCTTGGAACCTGTTTGTGAGGTCAGTGCCACGCCCACCAGCCTCACAGTCTCTTACTGCCCAAGCTGCCTCCCTCCTAGTCCAGAGAGACAGGACTGGGTGATGGGTTCCCGCTGTGCCAAGCTCAGCACCAGCCATGGCACGGCCCAGAACACGGGTCATAGCCGTGGCCACGAGTCCTCCATGAAGAAGCTCGTGGCCTGTGTGAGTCAAGACAACTTCTCCCTGTCGTCAGAGGGTGAGGAGGAAGAGGAGGAGGAAGAGGAAGAGGAGGAGGAGGATGACGAGGAAGAGGAGGATGAAGAGGAGGAGGAGGAGCAGATCCCAGTAAAAGGCAAACTGCTGCTGATGGAGCCCGAGAAGCAGGAGAGCACTGAGGACGACGCCGTGGCCCAGCCGAGCCCTGAGCCCAAGCAGACACACCCCTGACCCACCCTGAGGCCTGCCCAGTGATGGATGCCCATCGCCACTCCAAAGAGGACATTCAGAAAATAAAGAGTCTCCAAGGAACTCTCCTGGTTTCCCTCTTTCCCTTCATATGTATGTGTTGCATGAGCATGCCCGGAGAACAGCCACCCAGGGTGAGGAGCTCCATTGTGGAAGCCTGGCTGGATGCCTCTGTAGAGCCCTCATTTTGCTGTCGGGGTCAAAGCGAGGCAGGCTCTATGTAGCACTAAGTGGGCTAGATGAGGGGGCTATCCTTCTGCTTCATCCTCTGAACGCTGAGATTACAGACTCAGATGAACTGAGGATGCTGAGGATGAGCACAGAGCCTGGGTCCGGATGTATCATACAGAACCAGGCTCTCTGCACTAGCCACTGCTCCAGAAATTCTGGTCCGGCACAGTCCGTGATTCTTAGCTTCCATACACTTTCCAATACCTATTGGTAGGCTCCATGTGGACGCAGATCTGGGAGGGGCAAGCTACCATCCAGCCTGCTAACTGCGGTCACTGGGATGCTCCCAGGCAAAGCTGGTTGAAAAGGATGAGCAGAGTAGGCAGGGCTCAGTAAACCAGGCAGTTTTCACAATGGGCCGTCTGGCATGTTTATTAAGAAATCAACTCAAGGCGCATATGCCTTAAATCCCAGCACTTGGGAGGTGGAGTCATCTTCAGGGCCAGCTCACTAAGACTGTCTAAAAGATGAGTTAAACGGCTTAGTGGTTAAAGGAACTTAACCTGAGAGTTGTCCTCTGAACTCCATGTGTAGTGTGGCCTGTACACACACACACACACACACACACACACACACACACACACACACACACAGGCCCTTGCCAGTAAGTGCTGGCCATGAGAGGTAGTGTAGTGCACAGAAGCTTGGGCAGGGCCATGTGGGCAAGAGGGTAGATAGTGCCTCAGAGCCAGAGCTGCAGGGATCACAGGTGGCTCTAGAAAAGTGACTGAAGACTGGGAAGAGCACACCAGCATCATCAGGCTAGGGGCTGGAGCAGAGACTGAACACTGAGTCCTACTGGGAGGCTCCCAGGATCCAAGGGCTGGCATCCCAGCTCAAAGGAATGGAAGGAAGGGCTGGTTTCAGACTGAGGGAGCCCCATGGCATATCCAAGATTAGACTTCAGTGCAAACTAGACTTTGAACCTGACCCTCAACCTCTCACCTGGGAAGGCTGCTGGGGAGGTGGGCCCATTCCAACCCCTAGTCACTCTGCTACCTAATCCAGGGCACACCACTGTCCACCCACTGGCTACAGCTGTTATGGTAGGCCAGGCAAAAAGGAAGAGAATCCTGCAGCTGCCAGAGGCCTTGAAGCACTGACTGCAGACTGTTCCTCACCTAACCTCATGATCTAAATTAAAATTCCCAATGTCACTGTGGGGTGGGTGCAACGACTATCGTCCCCATTGCGAAGCTGGACCATGCAGACGTGAACACAGGGAGCAGATGTGGCCTCAGCACAATCTGACCCACAGGGCCCTGAAAGTTGCCCCACCCTGGGAAGAGGGTGAGGGGCAGAGCTTTGCCATACCTGTCACCCTCTGTGGCCTGTGCCATCATAATTGGCCCAGCTATATAACCAGGGGCTGTGGGGACTCCCCAAAGCTGGGCCTGCTGGAAAAAGAGGAGGAGGAGGAGGAGGTCTCTGCCCCTCCAAGTGTGGCCTCCCATGGACACCAAGACGCAGAGCCTTTCCACCACCCATTCCCACCCCCACAGCTCCTCTCGGTCCCAAGATCACACCTGTAACCAGTGCAACTGCAGCCATCACTGCCGGAGCTGCAGCCAGGCAAGCCACCCGAGCTCCAGTTCCAGCCCGAACCCCAGGCCACCACCGAGGCACTCCAAACAAGCCATGCACTCCCGACACTCAACTCCAAGGTCCAGCCACCGCGGCAGCTGTTCCAAGAACAGGAAGACCTTGGAAGGGAAGGTGAACAAGAGAAAGGTGGTGAGGAGGCGGAAGCGGACACACCGAGCTAAGAGGTGTAGCTCAGGTACCTGCCCAGTGGGGTCTCCTTGAAGGGCAAGGCTGCCCAGAAGGGCAGCTGGCTGGCTGAACGACAAGCATTGGCTCTGGATGGAGAGAGTTGATAGGATGCTAGTATTAAAGGCCTCTTTCCCATTCCTGTCTTAGGGAGAAGACACAAGTGAGACACTCCAGGTTGTTCCTGTGTCCATCTGATCCCAAACGGAGATAGCCATCACTAGGTGAATGTTGGGAGGACTCTGATCTTACAGGAACATGTCACTGCAGCAATTTCTATGCAACATTGATTAAAGCGTGTACCCTGGAAGATTATCCTTGAGTCTGTTCCTTGAGTCTGTTCTAAAGTATCTCTATCCAACAATGGTTATTGCTTGTGCCCGTGGCACAAGCTGCACTGAGAGCTCAGGGCTTGTTCCCAAGGAAGCACTGATCCTGAAAGTTATCCTGACTTCCTGTGTGTGTTGCTTCAACAGCCCATTTCCTGGTCACTAGTGGCCCCAGTGAACTTGCCTACAACAGGGCTTTGCACTGGCTACTCTTCCCTGCCCTCCCTCCCTTCCCCGCCAAGGAGTGTTGGGCAAACAGCTTTCAATATCACATACACTGACTAGGGGCAGCGTTTCCCAGCACAACATTGTCAAAGCTGGAAAGAGAAACCAAGAAATGGTTTCTCCTCCCCACCCCCACAGCTAGAGAAAGGTGGCCTCTATCATTGTGACAGAGGTGACCCATATTGGCAAACAGAAGCTCCAAAGCCCCGAGTTCTGCACACCTATGATCCTATGTTACTCAGCACATTTCTCTTTCCTTCTGGATTTGGTTTCATTTTGATTTGAATTCACAACTTTTTAGAAACTGAAACTGAGTTGTCTGCATCCAGAGACTTTGCACTTTGCACCGTGTCAGGGTACAAGGGAAACTGAGACTCAGAGGGCTGGGAGACACAGCAGGAAAGATGGAGGGCTCGTTTGCTGGACCCTGGAGCCTCCCCAAGCTTAAGGATGCAGCGAGACAATGGCCATCCGAAGTGTGGCAGTCTGCACCACTGGTACCCCCTGCAGACCAGGAAAGCATGTTCTCCAAGGATGGATAGCAAGCAAGCAGTGCAGGGGTGAGGGACACGTGGGGGTTGTGCAGAGGCCTGCAGGAGCCTGGCAGGGAGACCTGCAGGAGCCTCGCCACCTCCCCACCACCGCGGTGCCAGCCCTCCTGTGCGCACCGTTTTCCCTTTGCATGCTCTACTCCCTGGCTGGGGTGTCTAAAAGGAACACAGGGATGGAATTAATTTTAGAGTGCTTGCCCAGCATGCACAAGGCCCTGTGTTTAGTTCCCAGCACTGCATAAACCAAGCATGGTAATGCCTGCCTGTAATCCCAGGTTTTGGGAAATAAAGGCAGGACCAGTTCAAGGCCATCCTGGCTATATGAGACACTATCTCAATAATAAAAGAAACGCAAAGGACAAGGTCATGTGCCTGTGGCCAACACATCTCCTGAAGGCACTCTCAGATGGAGTAGTTTGTAACCGGGGCAATGGACACATACGTAGAGCTGAGAGAGGCAATGCAATCACATGCCCAAGGACATGGGCTAGAAGAGGCTTAGCTGGAGGAGAACCTGGGCCTAAGCCCAGCCTTTACCCACTATATTACCCCCATCACTCACCAAGGATGTGGACCGACCCTGGTCAGCACCGCTCAGCATCTTCTTTCCCATCCCTCCATAGACGTCAGTGACCACTACCAAGGAGCTCAAGACAAGGACACAACTTAGGAGGAAAAGTGGAGCTCTGGGCACAGTCTGGGGATACTGAGAAAGGGAGACCAGGAAGATCTGGCCAGTGCAGAGCTTCAGACGAGCCGACTGGCAGCAATCTGAGAGAAGCCTGTAGAGGGCAGTGTGCGTCACCGCGAAACACAGAAGTTTGCACGCGAACCTCCTCACCCGCCTTCATTCATAAACATCGCCACCAGCCAGGCACCTACTTCTGGCCTTCCAGGACAATCTGAATCACGAAACCGCACAGTGTCCTAATGATAGGTCTGACCGCCTCGATCCCAAGCCCAAGGTGTACACGGAGCACGGGAGCCCTTGTGCAGGCAGATGCTTGCTGGAGCTTTGAGGCCGTCTGTGAGGGTGGGGAGGCAGAGTTTTGGGGTTACAGCTGAGAAAGCCTCATTTTTTTTTCGTACTGGGTTCGTTTGGAGGTGCCCAGCCATTGTGAATCATAGCCCCGCCCCGGGCCTCAGTTTCTCCAGCTGCCCACGTAGTAGGAGTGCAAGAAGAGTGAGTCCAGGCCACTGGGGACCCAGCCCAACCCCACCCGGTTTCCGAGGAACTCGGCCGGGAGCGGGGGCGCCCCTCCCGCACTGCCTTAGGCTTCCTTTGAAGCCTCTGCGGTCAGGCCACCGCTTCCTGGGAAGCCCAAGCCAAGGCCAGGCCGGGTGGCCGACGGGAGGGGCCCGCGCGCCCGGCTCCGAGGCTCCAGGGGAGGGCGGCGGCCCCGCCGGGCTCCAGGACTGCCTAGCCAGACTCCAAGATGGGCCAAGACTGCCAAGGCCTCCGGGTCCTGGGCGGGAAGGACCCTGGCAGGAAGGAGCTTCTTAGGGGGGCGCAGGCTCCAGGCGAGGCGGAGCCCTGACCAGGAGGACGCAGACACCAGGAGGGGAGGAGGCGTGTCAGCGCCGCGTGAGCATCCCACCCGGCCGGCTGCAGGGATGTGGGGCGAAGGTGGCAAGAGCAAAAGAGCGGTCGTAAGGTGGCCATCCCAGACACCGACCAGAAGATTCCGGGAGGAGCCAGAACCCCAGGACGCCGAGGTCCCAATCAAGCAGGTGCGAGACAAGACCGAGCCTAGGGACAGGATCAGCATCTTCTCTCCAGAGAGAGCCGCAAGAGGCCAGAGAGCGGACCCGAAAGACTGGCCCGAAAGAGAAACGGAAAGCGGCGGTGGGCGGGACCGGTGGGCGGGGCCTCTGCCAGTTTTAAGAGCCTGATGCAGGGGCGGGCAGCATTAGAGTGAGCTGCAGCCGTGGCAGCTGCACGGCTCCCGGCTCCGGAGCATGCGCGACAGCCGCCCCGGAGACCCCAGCCGCGGCGCCCCGCGTCCCGCCGCCAGGTGAGCCGGGGCGGCGGAGGAGGAGGCGGGAGGGCATGGGAGTAAGGGGAGCAGAGCCCAAAAGGACTGGCCTCGCCGACTGCGTGGTGGGGTCGTGGATGCCACGCCTCTGGCGCCCTCCCGCCCCACCGGCTCGCCCAGGCGGGCCCCGGCGCGTGCGGGGTGTCGGCTGCGCCTCTTCTCCGGCCCTGAGCCCCGATATCCCGCCTGGGTTCCAATCCCCGGCGTGGCCAGCAGGCGGCAGCCGCTGGGCGGCGAGCCACCAGCGGGGACGGCGGGGAGTCGGGCCCCTCTCCACGCCCCCTTCTCCACGCGCGCGGGGAGGCTGGGCTCCACAGCCAGCCTGGAAGGGTTCCACGTACGGGAACGGCCTACTTCGCAGATGAGCCCACCGAGGCTCAGAGGCTCCGGGCGGATTCCGCGTTCCGCCCTGGCTCCTTGGGGTTCGCTTGCCGGCCAGCGCCACCCGGACGCCCGGCTCACTGCCTCTGTCTCCCCCATCAGCGCAGCCCCGGACGCTATGGCCCACCCCTACGGCTGGCCCCTCGTATAGGATGGTAGCACGCAACCAGGTGGCAGCTGACAATGCGATCTCCCCGGCAGCAGAGCCCCGACGGCGGCCAGAGTCCTCCTCATCCTCGTCTTCGTCCTCGCCGGCGGCCCCCGCGCGTCCGCGGCCCTGCCCTGCGGTCCCGGCTCCGGCCCCTGGCGACACTCACTTCCGCACGTTCCGCTCCCACTCCGATTACCGACGAATCACGCGGACCAGCGCGCTCTTGGACGCCTGCGGCTTCTACTGGGGACCCCTGAGCGTGCACGGGGCGCACGAGCGGCTGCGTGCCGAGCCCGTGGGCACCTTCCTGGTGCGCGACAGTCGCCAACGGAACTGCTTCTTCGCACTCAGCGTGAAGATGGCTTCGGGCCCCACGAGCATCCGCGTGCACTTCCAGGCCGGCCGCTTCCACCTGGACGGCAGCCGCGAGACCTTCGACTGCCTCTTCGAGCTGCTGGAGCACTACGTGGCGGCGCCGCGCCGCATGTTGGGGGCCCCGCTGCGCCAGCGCCGCGTGCGGCCGCTGCAGGAGCTGTGTCGCCAGCGCATCGTGGCCGCCGTGGGTCGCGAGAACCTGGCGCGCATCCCTCTTAACCCGGTACTCCGTGACTACCTGAGTTCCTTCCCCTTCCAGATCTGACCGGCCGCCGCCGTGCCCGCAGCATTAAGTGGGGGCGCCTTATTATTTCTTATTAATTATTATTATTATTTTCCTGGAACCACGTGGGAGCCCTCCCCGCCTGGGTCGGAGGGAGTGGGTGTGAAGGGCGAGGTGCCTCCGGCTTCTGGCCGGAGACCCCATCCCGCCTCTCGGGGGGGCCTCCCCTACTGGTGCTCCCTCCGGGTCTTCTGGTTGTAGCAGCTTGTGTCTGGGGCCAGGACCTGAACTCCACTCCTACCTCTCCATGTTTACATATTCCCAGTATCTTTGCACAAACCAGGGGTGGGGGAGGGTCTCTGGCTTCATTTTTCTGCTGTGCAGAATACCCTATTTTATATTTTTACAGCCAGTTTAGGTAATAAACTTTATTATGAAAGTTTTTTTTTTAAAGAAAAAAGATTTCTAGAGCGTATGCTTTGGCTAAACGTCCTGGGTTGGGGACGGGGGACGGGGGGCGCGCGGGAGGGGATGGTGGTGGTGGTAATGCAGATTTTTCTTGAAGTGGTTGGGGATGCTGGGGGGTTGGGCAGCACAGCTCCTCCCAGCGCTGGGGACCAAACTGTCAGGCTAGTTTTGGTGTGTGTCTGGAAAGATGGCGGCTCCAGTCCGAGCTCTCCTGGGTATCTGAGCCTGGTTCTCCTACCCCTGCTTGAGCGAATCCTACAGGGACAGCCCCTGACACTTAGTACTGCCTTGTCTCCAGTGTACAGAGGAGAACACCGAGGGACAGGTAATTGGTGCCAGGCCACTCCTGGTGGCGAGGTGGGCCCTTTTGACTGTCCACCAGCATCAGTTTGAAATGGATGACAGAGAGGAAACTTCTGTGCTTCTCTGACCACAACTACTTCCAGGAAGAGGGTGGGGCAGAGCGGCCAGGGCTCACCGAGTTTTTGGAAGGAGTGGCAGGTTCTGCAAGCCATCAAGTATTTCAGAGGGGATGATGAGCCATGCTGGCCTGGCTGTCGCTTCCCACCCTTCTCTGCCTTGTGTACTTTTTTGGAGCCAGAGCGCTGCTTTGTGGTCTGTGGTGGCAGGGGCCCTGGTGCTGCTGGTGGCTGGGGCAATTCCCTTTGCCTCTCTGGGCCTCTGAAAGACCCAACTCTGTAAGGCCGTGGTGGTGGCGGGAGTCCAGGTGGAAGGGCTGTTTCAGGACACTTGTGGGGCACCAGAAAGGACCCGGGACACTGGCTTTGAGGCAGATGGGCTGGCTAGGAACTGGTGGACTGAGTCACGGCAGAGTTTGGTGCTAAACATGTCCCACTTCATCTTCAGGAGTTGTCATGATTCCTGTAGGGGGACATGCTTTTAGAAGGTCCAGAGTCCTCCAGGCCCAGGGTGGCCAGTCCTTCAGGGAGGTGGGGTTTGTTTTGCCCTCTGTTTCTTCTTTTTTTTTTTAGCCCTGCCCCTGCTGTATAAATTAATGAGGGCGAGACTAAGTGACAATACTAGAGACACCTTGCAGACCCTTTAGTTAGAGCTGGGGGTGGGGGTGGGGGCGGGAGGACTAGCTGGGAAGACCCTGCTTAATACTCGGACCTGCCTGGGAGTCAAACCCCTACCCCTGGGAAATAGGCCAGAAGGCAGGAAGAGCTCCCACACTGGCACGGATCACCTGGGCCTTTTGATTGGTACCATGGTACTGTTGGCAGGCCCTCCTTCAAGCATAGGTTGAATTGGCAGGTAGTTTTATAGCATGCCAGGGGGATTTCCTGGTCTGAAAAAAGGTGACAAGTTCTGTGTTCACCACAGAAGTCTAAATCACTGACCCACTGCTTTGTAAAAGCCTGAGGCAGAACAGCTAGGAATAAAGCTCCCGTCCCGCACACTCCCTGGAGCTGGCCCCTTCTTCCCTTTATGAGTCATTTAAAAAAAAAAATCCATCCTGACATACAAAAGGTGACGTAAAAGCCCCTGGGAGCTGCACTCCAGTGTCTGTGTGTCTGTCGCCCTGTGGCTTCCCTGGGGTGCAGATTCTCTATCTGGCCCTCAAACCTCAGCCTCATGATTCAGCAGGTGCTCACGTCAGTGCACAAGAATGAAAAGTGAGAGGGGACCAAGTAGGGGGCCAGTGGAGTGTGGGGCTGATTGCATAGGCGTGCACACACGCACACACACAGGTGTGAGGCCACCCTAAAAGCCAACACAGCTGGCAGCTGTGGTCCTTGTTTTACTGAGACGGAAGAAAGGGTTCAGAGAAGTGTAGGAAGGTGTAGAGTGGCGGCCAGGCCTTGGAGTGGCAGGCCTGTCCTGTTTTCAGAAAGATGGGTTTCTTCCCCCTGCCCCCTCCTCTCTCTTTTTGTTTTTCTTGGAGACAGGGTTTCTCTGTGTAGCCCTAGCTGCCTGGAACTCACGCTGTAGATGAGGCTGGCCTCAAACTCAGAAATCCACCTGCCTCTGCCTCCCAAGTGCTGCCTCTGTACCTCCTGCCTGCACCACCACTCAGCTGAGTTTCTTAAGAGATGGGGAGGGAAAGAAGAGGGAGGAAACCCGTGAAAATGCATTCCTGGGCCTCCCCTCATCCTGTGAGCTCTCTTCGACCCTAGGAGTTGGTCATGAAATGGACAGGCAAGCCTCTTCTGTGGAGTGTCCAACATAAAGCACTTAGCACAGAACCATGGTGTGTAGGTGCTCAATGGAGGATGTTGGGAGGTCCAGATAATAAACACTAAGTGGAGTCTGGGAGGATTGAGAGGGCAGGACCAGCCTGGGCTATATACTGAGAAACAGTAAACACTACCCGATTCAGATGCTCTTCTAAGAAATGAATGGGAGAGGGCTTCTGGGCTCTGTTCTCATGGAGAGTGCCAGAAAAATAGAAAGGAATGATACTGCCAGAAGAGGCAGTGCTCGGAGGAAAACTAACAGTGGCTGGCGGTGAGTGGCACTGGAAGATGTCAGGGAGGTCATCCAAGAGTCCTTGGAGTGACAGATCTGAACTGACCAGGAGAGATGGGGAAAAGGCATAATGGGCAAGTGCAAACGCCCCGCAGCAGAACCTGGTTCTGCTCACCACATAATTCCCCCAGAGGGAAGGCCGTATTGTGCTGTGCAGGGCCCAGGTCTCAGTAAGGACTGCATTGGGAGCCTGGACACACCCTCTGTTGGGACCAGGTCCTCTGGCCTTTGGGTAGAGAGGGCCTGAGGTAGCTAGTACTGATAGCACAGGTTTGGGCTTCCTGCCTGTTAGGGTCACTCCTGGTCAGACATCTGCTCCAAAAAGCTAACAGCAAGGGGAAGCAGAAGGCCAAGCCCAACACAGGCCAGTTTTGGCAGGCCTCTCTCAAAACCCCAAGAGTGAGTCTGTTTGGCACCTGGGTCTGAACAGAATCCCAGGACACAGTAAGGGGATCCTTGAAGCAATGCTCACCTGAGCACGGTGGGACCCAACTTAGGAAAGCCCGTTGGGGACCAGGAAGGAGGGTGGGTGGGACTGACAGGTAGTTGTGACCTGGGACACTTGCATGACTGCTCCACACCCCTGGGCAGCAGCTGGCCAGGCCTCCAGAAGACATCACCCTGAAAGTGTCTAGAATAACAAGGAAGGGGGGCTCAGCCTGATTCTGGGGGAGCTTCAAGGTTCCTCAAAGGAGTACTATTTTCACCAAAGCAAATCACACAGGAACAGCAGTGCCCAACGTGGCACCTTGAACTTGGAACTGGGACCTAAGCCACAACTCTTACGGGAACCACAGGTCTCAGGCACACAAGTGACTGTGGGATGCTGGTACATCTCCCATCCTGTCCTGCCTTTGCACCACAGCATGGGCCAGCAGCTCCATACCTGTTATGCGAGCCCCTATGGGCTGAAGTCCACAGGCTTGAAGACCCGAGGCCTTTAGGGGGTCATTGCCTAGCTTTGGCCCAATACTCACCAGCTCCTGCTTCCGGGCCATTGTGGGTTTTTTTGTTGTAGTTGTTAAGGTGTAGCTGGTAGGTGCCAGCTGTGGTAGGTGGCTAAGGAAAGCATTGGTCCAGGCAAATCCTGTTTCAGCCAGTGGCTGCCGGCTGATGATGTCACCGCACTTACTGGGCTGTGCTCAGCTCTGCTTGGCTCCCTGCACCAGTGGTCCCTTGTGGAGTGAATGGGGGCCTGTGTATGCAGCCTGCTTGACTCCTTCCAAGGCCTAGAGTGGGTACGTCTGGAGGCCACACCAGGTCAGAGTGATGATAACCAGCCATCTCCTGTCCACACTCCCTTTAGAATATTTATTTTTATTTTTAATTATGTGTATGTGCATATGAGTAACAGTGTCCTGGAGGTCAAAGGAGGGTCTCCGATCCCCTGGAGTTAGATTGCAAATGGCTGTGAGCACTTGATGTGGGTACTGGGAATCGAACTCAGGTTGTCCTGGGCTTTTCTCTGTTGCTGTGATAAAACATTGACCAAAAGCAACTTGGAGGAGGAAAGGATTTATTTAATCCTGAGTGCATCACTGAGTGAAATCAGGCCAAGAACTCAATCAAGAATTTGGAGGGAGAAAATGGAGGGGTACTGCTTACGGCCTTGCTCAGTTTTCCTATATGTATATAACTCAGGACCACCTGCCCAGGAGTTGGCACAGTGGGTGGGGGCCCTTCCATATCAATCATTAATCAAGAAAATGCCCCCACAGATACACCCGCAGGCTAATCTGATGGAGGCCATTCTTCAAGTAAGATTCCTTCCCAAGTGACTCTGTGTCAAGTTGACAAAAACTGACCAGCACGTGGGTCCTTTGTAAGAGCAATACTGGCTTTTAACCTTTTAACCACTGAGCCCTCTCTCCAGTCGCTAACCCTCATGTATGTATGTATGTATGTATGTATGTATGTATGTATGTATTTAGGTTTTTGAGACAGGGTTTTTCTGTAGCCTTGGCTGTCCTGGAACTTGCTCTACATCTTTACATAGTTAAAGTAATATTCCACAACACCTCCCCCAGCCATGTAACAGGTCACAAACCCTTCTCACCCGCAAATGAGGTAAGCTACTAGCCTCCCAGACAATGTTAAATAAAAAGACACCTGAAAGTGTTTGCTCTATAGCAGAGGATGATGACCTTGAACTCATAATTCTCCTGCCTCAGCCCCTTGGGTTCTGAGATTACCAGTGTGTGCCACCATACCTGGCCTTTCCTATTTTAGGTTAGCACTGTTTATTGTTACCTACCAGGTACTAGGCTTGACCAGCTTCTGTTGTGAAGAAACAGGTTCAAAAAGGCTGAGGAATGGCCCCGTTTTGGTGGGTGGACAGCAGGGCTGGCCTTTGGGCCTAGAGGCTTCCGATGCTAAGATCATGATCCTACTCACTACAGGTAATAGGGCTGAGGGTTTATATGTCCGCAGGCCAGCCAAAGCCCAGAGACCCTATCCCCCTAGCCTGACTCTTCCCACAGTGCAGGCCCAGGAAGCCAACACAG